ATAACAATTGAAACAATAAAACATGTTTAAACAGATTTAACAGAGGACCACACAACTCACGCTGTGCTAAAAGCCAAAGCGTAAAAGTGGGTCTTAAGACAAGACTTAAAACTGTCTTGATGTGGGGGGGGGGCTGAGCGTTCCACAGCTTTGGTCCAGCCACAGAGACAAATGGTGTTTCCCCTCACTGTCGAAAAGTATTCAGTAAGAAATAACTGCTTTAGGTCACTTTGAACAGAACACATACCCAATGTGAAGCATGGGGGTGGAGACAAAGTTTGGGATGGCTTCTTTGCACAGGGGCAAGGACGACAGATCAGGAAACATAGACAGATAGAGATAGATAGATAGATAGAAACTTTATTGATCCCTGTGTAGGAGAAATGCAGGTGTCCTGTAGCAGCAAAAATAATACATAAAATGTATCACTCTAAAAAGCTAACAATAGTAGCAACAGTCAGGTCACAGCAGCAGAGATGGAGTAGCCTCTTGGTTCGGACCATTTTCTCTGCTCTAGTCCAAATTAAAATCCAGAATGCTTCATTATCATTTTTCAAAAAGTTTGCCTTCCTCCAGTGGATTTTCACCTGATCTGCTTGGTTCGGACCATGAATCTTCTCTGCTCCGGTCTGGACCAGTGTTAAACCATGATCACTGTACTACAGCAACAACAAGAAAAAATTTAAATTGTAAAACACAAAACAACAACTGTTTTGGAGCTACTTAGGAATTGCAGCCGTTTCCAGTGCATTCAAAAGTAGTTTCACATCAGTGGTTTGGTATAAGAAAGTTTTTGTCCCACTGTACATGCACTTTATGTGGTAACTGCTATCCAGAGTGTTTGGCATTTAATATTTAAACAAATAAAATAAATACTGCACTGGTGATATTAAAGATATAATAACACTAATACTAATATAATTAGGGTTGCTAACCACAGGCCAGCTGTTAAGTAACTAGTTAGCAGCTGCCCTGTGGCACACACTGAAAGAATCAGTATTTACCAACCATTCACACTCACACCAGACACATTCTTGTTGGTGAAGTGTCTTGCCTAAGACAGTTTGGCACTTTACAGCCAAGTTAGATCCATTTTAAATCTAAAAACACCTTTAAAGTTGAGGTGCCTAAATAGCGCATGTTTGTCCCAACAGAAAGAGTCTTGTAAAAGTGAAATGTTGTGAACGAACATAATCTCTTTTTTTTATTGAAAAACGTGTTCTGTGGCACGGTGGTTAGCACTCTGTCTTTGCAGCAAGAAGGTCCTGAGTTCAATTCCACACTCCTTTCTGAGTGGAGTTTGCATGTTCTCCTTGTGTCAGAGTATGTGTCCTCCAGGTGCTATGGTTTTCTTTACCACTAAAAACATGTACAATAGCTCCCCTCTTTCTGGCATCTGGACTTCTCTGAAAACAAAGACATTTGTTTGACTGTGTATGTTTCAGTCAGAAATAACTGATGTAAATTTTAAATTACGTATGCATGTGAAGGCTAGTGATAGATGCAAACTGTACTGAGATCGCGGAACAAGCTGGATTGTAGTCATTATTTATGCAGCATAAATAATGAAAAGAACCAAACAATCAAAGTGTGAGTTTATTTATTGGTAAATGACATGGTCTCTTTTTACCAAGGAAAAGAAACCATGTCACCCACACCACCTGCAGAATTCAGAAGCCATCTGCCCTGAATGAGGAAATTACTAAACATTAAATCTTCTCTTGATCTTAAACAAATGAAGTGATTATAGATATGTGTAGTTTTCTTTCCCACTTTCTTTATCTGATACAACTCTGATATATACAAACAAATCTGTTATGTCTTGGTGCATGCTGTCCTTTGAGACAGCTTGCCAAAAACATGTTGCGGATCTGTCAGCTGACATTCTGCCATTGCCACTGTATCAGAATCAAGAGTTGAGGATTATTTAATGACTTACTCTTATAAGTATCTGTTTTTTAGTCAGATTTCTATGCAAGTAAGATTTCTATAACAGTAGATTCTGTTCTAATTTTTGAGTTTTACTTTCTTTTCTATGATGACATATTCTGAGAATTTGGTTGAGAGTTGGGAAAAAAAAGCAATGAGAAAGAAGGGGTGGGGGGCTGTGTTCGTCCCAGAAGTTCCTGATGGGTAGTGTCTTTTATCTGTGGCAAAATTCTATAAAACAAATCTACAATAACACACTGGGATTTTGTTGCACATACAAAGATGCATACCTGCTGAAGAGGATAGTCAATCAACATTTTTTGTAGCACAATTCCTATACAAGGCAATTCAAAGTGCTATACAAGAGCAATTTAAAAAACAGATCAACAAGTTAATACAAATAAATCAATATATCCAATCCGCTTTTTATATTGCAAATATATACATATAAACATTAGAAGATAAATACAACATTAAGATATATGAACTAAAAGCAATTCAAATAAACAATATACAACTCATTTATTTTAAAACAGTGAAGCATTGTGGTTAAAACTCTTGTGAAAATGGGTTTGATTTTAAAGCAATAGAAAACCCTGTCTATGCATCCTGTACGCTCTCCAAGAACATGCCGTAATGAGGGGAGTGTGTTCTTTTAGAGCTCAAATCACCTGTCACCGGACCTGTGTGTGTGTGTGTGTGTTTGTGTGTGCGTGTGTGTGTGTGTGTCTCTGTCTGTCTGGGGCAGCATGTGGGTTCCCCACACGTGTCTGGGGCGCGCACATGTCCACTTGTTATTATCCACAGATCGCTCCACAGGTGAGGCTGCGAGGTGTTCAGGCGTCATGGGACTTCACATTGCTGCTTACACAAAAGCACACATCACAAACTGCTGTCGGCTGATGAACACTGTTAAAGGGAGTTTTAATTCTGGGTTGTAAGTAGATTTATCAGCTACTGATGGTCACCAGAATGTCCCAATAGATCTTTCAGCCACTGGACTCTTAACATTTCCTGGTGTTGCCAGTCTTGAATGCTCTAATATACTTTCCTTCACAGGGATTACAGATGAAAACGAGCTTTGTAACAAAAATGTTACATATTATATAGTATTTGTTTTTACTGCTGTTCATCAATGTGCATTGTCCCGATCAAATAAACAAATAAACAAATTTAAAATGTATCATTTATTTATCAAACTTCTACTGGAACAGCTTTTGTGTGAGAGCCCAAAGTGGCAAGCAATAGTGATTCATCATGGTTAACTGCCTATGAAAATATGTGTCTAATATACTGTAAGTGTTCCATTGTGTGGGATTTTCTGATGTTGCTGCTGAATATCAGTGCTACTTGTACCTGTGCTACATGTACCTTTGTTGTTTGTCTCAACAGTAAAATTAAAATGCTGTGACCAAATTACACTACATCATGATGTCATTAGAAAGCATGTACTCTTTTCCATACATGTAAGTCCTATTGATTGGCTGAGAGAGGGTCCTTTCTTTTTTCCTATTCTGTCTGAAAAATAAGCTGAAAAGATGTGAAAGAGGCTGAACATAGATGCATATGAAAACTGTTCTGAAACTGTTTGGAGAGCGGGAAAGAGTTACAGTAGACCACGCTATTCCTTTATCTCACTGTCCTGTTGGGCTCTGGCTCCTGGACCTGGTGGTAATGCGTCCTCCAATGGTTTTGTGTGTTTATCTGAGTGTGTGACTGGGGCTGTCAAGTGGGCAAGTTGATGTGTCAATGTTTTTAATAATACATTGACATATGTCTTTTATGAAAAGTGCTATATAAATAGACCGGATTTAATTAGATGGCTCACAGCTAACAGAAACTATTACTGGTATCTAAATTAAGAGTACTGTTGAAAACAGAACCTTGACCATGTTGGCCTTTGGCTTACAGAGGTTGGGAACTCGTGTTTTGTGGCATGAAGCTCAGGATCTATGAATCTACATGTATGAGCAGTGAATTGGTTTGAGGCTGTAGAATCCAATAGTATGCGACGCCCTTATAAGCATCCAGGCAACACCCGGGTCAAACTTGATATTTGTGGTGGAAAGTTAGATTTATATGTTATTGTTTTTATAACGGTCATTTGACCAAAATATTACAGTTATTTAATCTTAGTTTGGATTGTCAGTCCAAAACTGGACGAGTGTAGAAAGACATGTTATTGTGGACTGTTAGTCCACATTTTTTCATTTTATTTAAGTGTTAGAGATTTTTGGCATGCCTTTTTTACACCGTACAATATGCACGCTGCATTTCTTGTGTGCACCACAATGATTAGTTCAGAGGACTTTTCTCGTAGTCCTCAGTTTGTGCGGAGCCCTCTGCAGCTGTATTTTACAGTGTATGCACTGCTTTTGACAGCTGTAGCAGAGCTCAGACCGACAACTAACAGGTTTGATACCTCTGTTATTGCACTTCAGCAGTCGTGGGTTCAGGTGTTTAGAAAAGTGTATAAGTGTGTAAGTGTGTGTGAGGGGTTTTACAGCCTTAAAACATTTAGCTGTTACTTCAAAGATTTCATTTACTTCGGGTTAATTTCATAACGTATTATTGAAAACAGTGACACATCAACCCTCCCACTCAACAAACCCGGTCATACACGTACTGCTGTATAACTCATTTCATTGTGGGTTGCTAATGCGATACAAATTCAATTATATGGGTGATTTCTTGGAAGATTTGCATGCCATTATTAACTCATTATTCACAAGTTCCATCCATCCATCCATCCATTTTCTTCCCCTTAATCCATTTCTGGGTCGGGGGGGTGGCAGTCAGAGATGCACCCAGTCCACAGAGCACCAGCCCCTCACTGATCCTCCTGCAGGTGGTGAGTCCACAGGAGCCACAAGTATTCACAAGTTGTCAATAATAATTCAGAATCCTTTGGGAGACCACGGAAATTCAGGCCAAGTTTGACCATTCATTTAGGCAAGCAGCAAAGGTTTTCCGTGGTTTCTTTTGGGTTTTTACAAAAGCAGATGTGAAAAAGACCTTTCAATCTACAATAGTTTATTAAGGGAATGACACATGCAGTATATCCACTGCACATGCATGCAATGTCCAAAGCGCACATCCACATCGCTGCCTGCACTTGTTGGGATGGTGAGTCAGCGCTCCAGATGAGAGCCCGGCCACGTGCCGTCTCCACCAGTGTGAGCTGTGGGGTTCCCATGGTCACGGCGAGGGTGGTCGTAACAAGGGGTGCGTCAGGTGACAGATTAGCACATGTCTTCACTCTGTCGGCAATCATTTTGCTCATTTTATGTTTGTATGAGCATTTTATACTATGTAGAATCCCCAGCTCCAGAAGCTTTTTGTGCAATAATATTCTGTATTTTGCTGCTTTCACCTTCTCATAAACTCTGACGTTCTTCCCTGTCCTGCCCATAGGTGACACTGGGAACGGTGAACTAAAGGAGATAAGCAGTGTTAGTTTTGAGCCATACATAACATCTTGCCCCAGCATCTTCTTCCACATGTGGAATGTGTCTGCCTCTTTTCTTCTTGTGGCTTAATTTCAACACTGACTTTCTATAAACCACTCCACAACGGCCAGACTCATGCAGGCTAATATTTTCCCCATTGTCCATATTACCCAGAAGAGCTGTGGATGTCCAAAGCAACTCCTGCCCTTGTGCCTGCACTTGTGATCATTGTTGTCCTTGTTAGAGCTGTGAGAATGGTGGTCAGACAGCCAAGTCTCGGCAGAGTTGCAGTTATGACATGCTCTTTCCCTTCCCAGATCTGTGAGATATTTAAAGCTTTGGAAATATTTTTAAAGCCTTTACTACAACCTAATTTCAGAGCTCTCTAGAGTGTTCTTTGGACTTCTTGTTGCAGTCTGTTCCTCTAAACAGACCTCCAAGAGCAACTCCATTTGAGCTGAGACTAGATTACACATATGTGGGCTCTATTAAGTCATCAGGCAAAGCCTGAAGGCAATTGGTTGCAAAAGGAATTTTGCACACCCCACTTTTTTATGAATACAAAAGTTCAAAGTTTTAACTTGAATTAACTTGTATGTATCAGTCACCTCATTCCCACAGCAAAAAACTTGTATACATTTTGACACAAATCATAAAAGTATGGAAAATGTCAAATAGCTGCAGACCACAACATGGGTGGGGATAATTATCCAACCCACTGTAGACTTAGATAAGTACATTGTGCTATAGCAGTGCTTGTCATGTGTGTTTCCAATTTACCATAAGAAAATACTGAACAATCTGACATTTACCGTCTTTAACAGTTTTGAGGTCAGAAGAAAATGGCTCCATTGTGTGTGCAGGTGACAGCAGCTTTCAGAGTCATGAAGCATCTGTTTACCTGTTCAAATGTGTCAAGACTCACGAGGAACAGTTTTGCTTAACAATCACCATCACCATCAGCATGGGTGTCAAAGTCAAGGCCTGGAGGCCAGATCCGGCCCGCGGATGAATTATCTTGGTCTTTGGGATGATATCTGATTAGGATTAGAACCGGCCGTAAGAAAATATTGGATTATTCATTTAATGTTCTGTAGATGGAAGACTTCCTTGGACTTCCAAAGGAAGTTTTTTGTTGTTGTCATAGCTTCTTGAAAGAAACATTGATTATTCATTTAATCATGAAATAGAATACGGTATCCTGAGTTAGGTCTTGGTTCAATAGGTTATATGCAATCATTTTAATATATTTTGATAAAAATTTAACAGTTTTCTGAGTTTGCATGTTCTCCCCGTGTCTGCGTAGGTTTCCTCCGGGTGCTCCGGTTTCCCCTACCACTAAAAACATGCACAATAGGTCTGAATGTAAATGAGAGAGTGAATGGATGGTGTTGATTGGGGGCTGATGCGCCAGAGTGTTCGGCAACTTGCTTCTGTCATCACGTGTGTGGAATGATTGGAACAATATCTGAACTCTGAACATTGTAAAGCACTTTGGGTGACCTTGGTCTGTAAAATGTGCTATATAAATAAACATTACTTACTTACTAATGTAAATGTCAAAGCTGCCAAATGCTTTATAACAGTCTCTATCAAAGCACATTTCATAAATCACTTCATGTATTGGAACTGGCCTTAATTTCCTCTCAAAACACACTTCTATCACTAGTTTTCACATGCATGCATCTTTGCTCACTGTCATGTAGTTAAACTAGGTTTATTCAGTAAGAAATAAAAAGAAAACGGAGACATTCTTATACAGTAGTGCTTGTTTTACAGCAAAGTAAAGTACAGTTGTACTTTATATTGTGCCCGTAAGGAAACATGTTTTTGCATTTGACCCATCCTGAATGCCACTAAGGCCTCTGTCAGGAGCAGCGTTTTCCTGCTCTTGGTCAGAACTGGAACTGGAGGATTTCACCTATTGTGCATGTTTTTAGAAGTAAGGAAGCCCGCCTTCTAGGAGAACCTAGAGGAAACATGGGTAGAACATGAAAACTTCACTCAGAAAGTCCCTCTTCCGACTGGGATTCGAACCCAGGAGGTTCAAACAGAGAAGCAAGAGTGATAAACACTCTGGCAGATTTGTCTCATTCAACAATTGTTTGCTTATTCCATTGGTAAATATGATCCAACTGAACTTAAAACAAAGAAAATAATAACTTTCTGCATTTTACCAAAATAATATTTGGTTTCTAACAAATCGCAGTAATAATGGTTCAAAAGTGGCTTATAGGGCTAAAGTTCAAAATAATGAGGTTTAGATAGATACTATATTGATCTCGGTAGGAGAAACTGCAGGTGTCCAGTAGCAGCAAAAAAATAAAATAAAACTTATCATAATAAAAAGCTAACGTTAGTAATAATAAGCAACAGCCCCCATGGACACAGCAGCAGAGATGGTCAGCAGGACGGGTCACAGCAGCAGAGGTGATGTAGGCTCTGGGTGTAAACCATAGTAAACACATGTTTTAAAGTGTTAAATATACAATAAACATTTTGATTATGATTCACCCACAGCAAGAATCAGAGAGGTGTTGAACTATTCATCTGGAAGTATTCCTCTGGAACTGTGATGATATCTCATCTTTTGAAACTTATAGTTGCAGAAATGTATTTGCTATTTGTGCACACTTGGAGACCACTCTGCGTCCTCTGGACAAATGATGTGCCTTTTCTAGTTCTAGTCTATTGTTGACGTTCGGCATGTGAGAAATAGGTCATGTGCTTTTTAAGAACAATCAAATATGTTTTATGCTTTTTCAAGGGTTTTACCTGAAAATGTCCAATATCAATGAATTGCGTATGAATAATAATATATACAGTCTATGGTATGAATTCACTGTGCCCTAAGTACAGAGTACAGAAGTTTTATAGACAACACAACTTTAGATCTTTACATCTAATATACACACACACACACCCTCTGCTTTTCCTCCGACCCCACTTTGACAAGGATAGAAGTCAGGCGAGGTATTTTAGTTGTATTTGAGTTGGAAAAGGCGCTGCCACCTGCTCTCCACCTGATCCATGGAACCCTCCGTGGGCAGTGAGTCTGGTTTGGTTCTCACCCTCACCTATATGGGCATGAGCTTTAAGGAATGTCCCAAAGGAAACGATTGTGGAAGTGGGTCACTCTGTCTCTCAGCTGGCCTGGGAGCACCTTAGGATTCCCCTGGATGAACTGGAGGAGGTGTGTGTGGAGAGGGAAATCTGGGTGACTCTGCTCAGGATTTTTCTGTTGCCAGGTCCCCTACCCGCGACCCGGCTGCGGATTAATTAAGAAGACTAAATGGGACGAGATAGCAGCTATCCTAGCTCTTATATAAATATTGCAAATAGAATTACACCTGACCTAGAAGTGGGGTGAGGACAGAGAGTGGGTCTGTTTCCCATAAACAGTTAGACGGAGTTTACATGGAGGAATGTGTCTGCTGTGGTCACTGAGGCCATGCTGACAGCTCGCCCGGCGTTACGAGCTCGGAGTGCCTCTCATGGACTGTGTTGTAAGCCTTCCGCAGACCGGGTCGCAGATTCTACTGTAGTCAGTGAAGGTTATACAACACGAGCTTATATAAGTGAGCCACATAGAGCGCCAATGAGAACGGCTGCCACTAGTCCCGTGACACGCTTCAACTCTCTGTATGTAGTCAGGATCCGGAGAAGCAACAACCTTTAGCTCCGAGCTAGCGGCTAACATGAGGGCGGAGCAGCGGACTCTTCTTCACCACGGAACCAACTCTTTTTTTCTCCTGGGTTGTGATAATCGTCTGTGTTGGCTTGGGACATTTGGAAAGACTTTCTGCACAGACTTGGACCTGCGGTTTGAAAGAGCACAGCTTTGTTAGCATGGTTAGCATGGTTAGCATGGTTAGCTAAGGTTGCGCTCCAGGCACCAGCGCTTATATAAAAACACCCACGGACGACCACGGATCTCCTAGTAAACAACATTGCCACTCCCCGAGCTGCCCACTCCTCGGTCTTCGCTTTACATAAGTAGCAAGTCATAGTTTGTATTCATCAGTTTTATACAGGTTCGTTATTTTATTATCTTAAGCTTCTTAAACAGGGGTTAAGCTTGCTGGACTCTTACTGGAGCTCTCTTCGCGGGTAGATATAATTGAAATTGTACGTAATTTTCCAAAGTTAATCATTTTATGATATTGTCTAATCTATTCGGAAGATATCTGACATTGTTTAAATTTTGCAGAGATATCTACAGCAGCTGCAGGGAAACTGGAGCTGCTCTCTTGGGCCAAGTGAAGGATTGGATTTAAAAAAAAAAAAAACATTTTTTACTTTTGGCCTTTATAAAGACTTCTTCCTGGAAAAGGTAGGTACGGGTTTAACTTCAGTTTTTTCATTTCTGTTTTCTCCAAGTCTGTATTTAAGTGTACGAAATAACACAATTGTTTTTTATTGTTGATTAAAGGGTTTGAAAGATCAGGCCAAACATATTTATTTATAATATCCAATAGTCTGTCTTTGCTGTAATTTTCAATGTAGCTTTACATTTTGATTGCTAAACTATTGGTAGTGGTTCCATGGATCTATTATAATAACGAGTGGTTCGAGTGAGTAACCTAAACGATCCATGATCGCAAAGCAATATAGCACCAGCAATATTTAAACGCATTGAAACTCGATTCTATCCTAGAAAATATTCGCTCTAACAGAACTAAATGAAATACGTTATAATGTTATAATAATAATAGCAATAATAAGAATAAGAATAATGTTACTCTTTTGTTTTAGAATAGCCATCTATTGTCTAATGCAGAAGATTTTAAAATGTATTGTGTTGAAATTTGTATCCACTATGCAGTAATGGGTCGATTGGGCTAATCTTAGATAAAAAAAAAAAATCTTATCACTTTTCAATGTTAATAAAAACTTCTCCCGTCACTAAATACTTTATTTCGAAGGAGGTATTTTCTGCCTAAAAAAAAATATATATACTTTTAGGCTTTGATTGGCTCTTTACAGCTTTTTGTCAAGTTGCTTGACAATGACAATGAGTCTTGTGAAATGTAAAAGGTGAGCAAATATTATTTGTAGAAAAAGCACTGGGTGGCCCGTTTTGAAACTTCTGGCTGTTTGAAGGGGGTCTAAAAGACATGCATGTGAAAACTAGTGGTAACTAGAAGGAATCAAACTGTTTTAGTGACAGTAAAAACTACATGTTTTTACATAATTTCAAAAGCCCCGTTTCCACCACTCCGACTTGGTGCTACTTTGCTGTACCCCCAATTGGAACCGTTTCCACTAGCTCTGTTTATCTGGTACCAGGTACTTTATGAGTTCCTGCTAGCTGGCCCTAGTTCTAACCAGGCCTAAGGACCAAATTGAATACAAATGTTTTGTTTTTGTGCATAAGGTCATTTAACTGGTTTTAAGCTCAGTAACATTGTCATTGAGATCACCTTAATATGCGGTCGACTTTGTAATAACAATTTTGTCACTATTTCCCACCACCAGATTTGCTTCGCTGGCGATGGAGCCTTGTAGTTGCCCCAGACATCACTGCGTGCCACGACATAAGTTGAAATAAAAATCTTGTGGATAACCTTAACAAAGAAAACGCAAGACATTCTACAGCAATGGAGACCGGGCTCATGAACCACCAGGCGGAGGCCTTTGTCCACCCGCTGTCCAACCCGGGCGCCGCTGGGATCTGCCCAGAGATGCTTGAGGTTGCGGAGGAGGCCAACCGTGCTGGAGACTACGCCCTTGCCGCAGAGATCTACGGCTCGCAGCTTCAGGACCTTCAGCAGCCCGACCGTGGCCTCTGTCTGCGCAGGGCAGACTCGCTGGCCAGGGCGGGCCGCATATCCGAGGCTCTAGAGGGGTACTGCACCGCGGCAGGCATATGCAAGCTCCAGCCCCGCGAGCTGCCCCTGCTGGTGGAGACCATAGCAAAGACTCTGCGCGAGAAGGAGCTAGGAGGAGCATGGAGTAACGGAGGCCACGCAGACAATGAAGGTGAGTGGGGTGGGATCTTATACATGGACAAAGCTAACTTGCTTGCTCAATGAATCCCAAAAGTGCTCGTTGGAAAAGTTTTGCTCAAGCTGGCTCTGCCTCCTATAGCTCAGTAACTGTTAGTGTCATGTTCACTGTTTTGGGGTTAAAAAAATCTGTCATTTATGTTTGTAATGTCTTTGTAAATCCAGATTTCAGTCATATTCGGATTAATCCACCCCCTTCTCTTTTTACGGCTAAAGTTAACTTGTTTAAGTTTGAATCTTAGATGATGGTACATTATAGAAAACGTGGCAAACACTGACACAAATATTGAAAAAATGCTTGAATAGCGGTTTCTTTTACCAATCTTTTGGAAATAGGCATTAAGTTGTGTTAAGACCAATTTAAGACGACGCTCAAAGAAGAATCTTTAGCCTTATCATAAGCACAGCTATATTTTTTTTAACATGCCTCTATTATGATTATTAGAAAGAATAGTATGTCTAATATCCAAATGGTTCAAATTTAGAGCTGAGCAGCGATGGTTTTGAAACAGTCATCTTTGTTTTTTGATAACCTCAGAGTTTTTTTTTCCCCTACTGCTGTTGACCTTCTGTAGAAGCCCCACCCCCACAGGTGAAAACCCCCACAACTAGGTCAAAGGGAGTCCTGGTGTAACTCTGATGAACTTTGACATTACCACTGTTGTGTATATCTGCAAAAGATAAATGTACACACCATAGACTTTATATAGATGGACAATTGTCCTTTTGCCGCGTCACCTCAGGCCTGGCACCTACATTACACTGCTCTCAGTGTAATGTAAACAACTTTTTATCAGTTCTGTCTTTATCAATATGGTTTCAAAACTATATGCCTCTTTGTCTAGATAGAGCCTTAGCCATCGCCCTCCACTCCTTTCCACCCAGCTGTGTGCTTTAACCATTGGTCTGCAGAAGTGGTAGAATGTAAACCAGTATATTAATATTAATGGAAAATGGCCTGACAGAGCTTCTTTTGTAATTGCTATTTGTGAGAAGAACAACCCACAAAGTATCTTATGTTACATTATATCTCTATCATGGCACAAACAATATCACTATCCAGATACATCAGACTGTGGTTCTTCTGTCCATGTGCCTCTAAATTATTTGTTCTTTTGTTTGTTTTTGGTTGTTGTCTGGAGCATTGTAGTGAACATGGCGTGTAATTATTGTTTTAGAACCTTTTTATCTTTGTTGTGGTTGATGAATACTGCAACTCTGCAGTCATACTGTGCTATTTTAGATCATGGAAATGTCACAGCACTCCATCCCTTGTGGTTTTAATCAGGATCGACTGATTGGACATAGTGGAAATATTGGTGTCAATTTGAAATGTCTTACTGCAAATGTATAACTGCTCCATGTATTGTTATCGGCCTCCGTTGACTACTAATTATCAGTATCGGCCTTGAAAAAAACATGTTGATCGACCTCTAGTGCCCAGTACCCTCTCCTCACACCAGCTCTCTCCCTCATCCAGAGTGTCCCAAAGAAGACGAAGCCCTGGACCTGTTCTCGTGCCGCCTGTGCCTCCGCCTCCTCCACGACCCCACCACGCTGGAGTGCGGCCACACGTTCTGCAAGCACTGCCTAGACGAGCGTGCGGCCCCTGACTGTACACTGTGCATGGCCAAAGTGCCCAGCCAGAGCCCGCCAGCACCACAGCCGCCACGCCGCATCAACGTGGTCCTAAGCGGCCTACTGGACAAACTCTTCTCCACTGAGAGCAAGGCACGTCGGCTCTGGGCCGAGGGCGAGCTGTTGTGGAGGAGCCGCAGCATGAAGGAGGCTCTGGAGAAGTACAACGCCGCACTGGACCTGGGTGAGTCGCTAGAGTGTAGGACTTCAGTGCGTACTGATTGAATAGGAAAAATATATTATTGTGTGTATTGTAATCAAAGCGAAAGTCAATGTATATTGCTAACGTGCTAGCCCAATGAAACCCAATAGGGAAGTGCATTGACTGCAGACGCTTCTCCCTCTTCAACACAACAGTCCAAGACTGTAACCTTATTTAGATATTTTTGAATGTTTTATGGGGGTTTGCCATTGCTTTACCTTGCGATTGGTGCCATTAAAATAGTCATGTCCCAACTTTGGCTTTAACGTGTCACCCATTTGAGAGCAATAATAATAATGAATTTTATAGTATTGTAGTTAAGTTGCCTCAAAGTGAAATTCAGTAAGGTAAAAACGGTGGCTGACAGAGTGCATTGCTTTGAGCAGATTACCTGACTTGGATGAATACAATACTACATATATTTGTGTCAGTACTTGATTGCAGCTCATCCTGTGCTTTGCCCCACAACGTAACTTTATTTGCCCCCAATGTAAGAGTCAGCCTGACCTACTTCTGCAGGAGCGTCCAGCAGGGGGCGTTTCTCTGTGAGGTCATCTGTTACATGATCCCCACTGCAGCATTACCTAAGCAGCACATATTATCACACTGTCTCTCTATAGCAGGGCGTACTTCTAATGGAACACTTCAACTAGGCTCTTATGGCTCAGATTTGGACTATTCTGCTCAACTGTTATTATCCAACAAAAGTGTTCATTGTTTTTATAATTCAATTCTATTTCTCCAACACTCGGTGACTTAACTTGAACATAACATGCAAAATCAACTTTCTGCACACTTGCACAAGTTCTAGTAGCTTTCCCTCGGCATACACTCTTATTTTTTATTGAATTGAATGTAAGATATCACTATAACAGAATGAAAATCATCACAATTCATTTTGTTGTATTCTACTACTTTTAGCCATCAAACTATTATATATAGATATATATAGGTGCACAATGAATAACATGCTAGCTCAATGAAACCCAATAGGGAAGTGCTCATGGATAAAGTTTTGCTCCGACTCGGTTTGGCTCCTATTGACTTACATTGAAATGCAAACTCCTTGATAATGATTTCTATGATCCTGGTGTTTATATTGTGATATTGTCTTTGGCTCATATCTGGATTTACAAACGGACCAAAGTGGCCCCTCTGCGCTGGGTAACTTGGCCGTTGCTCGCAACATAATGTGCCTAAATTTGGCTTCTTATTCCCGCTCAAATAGCCTGTACCATGTAGCTTGAAGGCTAATACTTGACGTCAGTACTCTGTGAATTTACTTCTCATATTCAGTCTGGAGTCTTGCCTTATCTAAGATGTTGACATGTTTTTGCTAGAGCTTGTCCAGACCTGTTCCATCCATTCTCGTCGCTCTGTAACACGGCCACATCTGAACGACTGGCGAGGAAGTACCATACAACATGTAGCCTCACTGTTTGCTGAGGCTGAAGAAAGTGTCTGTGTGTGGGGGAATTGAGCACCTTGTGCCGCATTCAGGACACCAGATCTGTGCACATGTCCCGTGAGCGGTTCTACATGGCAAATGCAAACACAATGAGAGCCCTGCATGCAGATAGTGACGGAGTGAAGCCTGTAGGAGCCGGAGGAAGAGTGTTATAGAAGCCTTGTTATCTCAGCTTTGGTTTACATATGACTGGTTCATTTGTGTTCTCGAGGCAGGTCAGCTTTCATAACATCATTGTGGGAAATGTTTCAGTTCCGTGTAGGTCACTCCTGTCGTGTGCGCTACCATGACTAGGCAGTTATATACTGTTGTTATATCAGCTTCAATGTGAGTTCATAACCAACCAGTTTGTCAGATGATAAACATACATTTTAAAAAAATCATACTAGATTCTTTTACATTCAAAATAAAAACTTGGTTGATCAAAACATGTGGGACTATAACGCTGAAACACATTGGACTCTGTAGTGTATATGAACAGAACATTATTTTTTCATTCTTTTTTTCTACCCTTTTTATCAGTCAATTTCTGGGCCAGGGGGGTGGCAATGAGAGCTGCCACCTAATGCTCATAGCACCAGTCCCTCGCTAATCCTCTGCAGGTGGTGAGTCCACAGGAAGATGGCTGCTACATTAGTGGTGCCACAGCCTTGGTGTTTCAGCAGGAGCTTCAGACAATGTGGGGTTAAGTGTCTTGCCCAAGGACACAACGACAGTAGACATTAGTGAGAGCAGTTAGAGTGGGTCCCGAGGTGGGCTCGAACCCACGACCTTCAAGCCTAAATGCCAATGCTCTACCAACTGAGCTACTGTCGCCCATAAACGGAACAATTTTATTTGATGCACAAAGTTATAGCTGCAGGATTAATCAGAATCTAATTAGAGAAGGCTCCATTCGTTTCACTGGGTACTTCTACAGCAGGAGTAATGCTTTCAGGGGTTAATCAGTGTTTGGGTATGGGCCTTTGCTCTCGGGCACAGACTTAAATTCACATAAATACAAAATCTTTACAAAACCTGCAACAAATGGCAAGACAAAACCAGTAATTAGCCATAGTCATGACTTTTTGAACACTGCTTGCTGAAGGAAACCCTCTTTTGAAGATGTTAAATGAACAGTCATTTTCCTACATGTAATGTCATTTTCATAGTGCACATTACTTGGTGAACAAATGCGCATGTGCAACCCCTCCCCTCTTTGTAACCTTTCATAACATGCTAATCTCCCCGTTTGGTAACATTCAGGCCACACCACCCACTCCCCTCCAACCAGATGCTGTAGTTCCAACAAACGAGACACGAGAGGAGTCTGCGTAACGAGAGGAGCAGCACACTGTCCTTTGGCAATGTAGTCTCTGTCCTGCAGGCTGCTGGCACGAAGAGTATGTAGGCCTCACGTTACAGAACACCGCTGGCCTACTTCAAAGAGCTGCACTAACCCTTCCATTTCCTGCAAGAGCTCAGAGAATGATGCACACACGTTTGGGGGAGTTTTTTTTCCTTCTATTTTTTCCTTATCAGATGTAGAGTTGTTTTTAGCTCCAACCCTTCCTACTATCAGAAACGTCAAGCACAGATTGGCAACATTATGTGTTGACATTTATGTTTTTTGAGTAGGGACACTTACATGCTCTTTCCAATAAATGATAAAAATGTTGAGTTTGGTGCTCGTGAAAATTGAAGAACATTGGATTTTTCCCCCCACAACGAATGAGCAAGAGCACGAATGAATCCATTCTGTGTCTTGTTGTGGGAGGTAGTGTTGTCCCACATTTCCTGCAGGCTTCCCCTCTTTCCGTCTGCTCCTTGGCCTCCTCCTCGCCGTATGGCCTCCACCAGAATGTTTACCCTGCCCTGTCGACACACAGACACGCATTCACACAAACACTCGCAGGCTGGAAGGAGCAGTGAGCTGACTAGCAGAAAACACACGTGATTCACACACATTGTTGGTTATTAAGAAGATGCATTTATTTACTGCCCTTGTCCATTAATTACCAACAAAAGTACAGTCATGGACTGCTTTATTTACAAGATTGTCCTCCAGCGGATATTCTGTGCACAAAAATCCAGGAAATCATATTTGCATTTGACCAATAACAAAAGTTTATCGCAATACTTTGGAATGTAATCTTAATGACCAGTGACAGAGGTCAAACATGTCTTCACCAGGTTTTCACCACAATGTTTCCACCCCCATGCTTCACATTAAGTCTGAGTCCAGTATTACCCCTAGATTTCTGACCTTGTTTGAAGGTTTTTGGGAGAGAGACTGTAGGTGACAGATGACGCTCTTTGTTTCTGGGGACCAAAGACAATCATTTGAGTTTTGTCTGTTTAGTTGAAGGAAGTTATATTGCATCCACTCACTGATCTGTTCGTAACTCTGTTCGTAACTGAATTCGTCCCCTTCCATAGACCACTAGTTTATTTCTTTTTATGTTTTTATTTTTTTTACAATAAATGTTCTACTTGACTCTGACATGATAGTCGCAGATGTACTTTCCCTAACCAACTAAAGTACATCTGTGACCAGAGGTGGGACAAAGTCATTGTTTAGCAAGTCACAAGTCAGTCTCAATTCATTGCCCTCAAGTCCCGAGTCAAGTCCCGAGTCAAGACAGGCAAGTCCCGAGTCGAGTCCAAGTCAAAGGCCAACAAATCTCAAGTCAGTCCCAAGTCCTACGGTTTGACTTTCGAGTCCTCTCGAGTCTTTTTGACTGCGATTTGTTTCTTGTTGGTCTCCACGTACTTTTGTAGGCAAACAAAAAAGGACTGAAGGGACCAATGGAGGGGAAGGAACCTGGCCTGTATGAACTGGACCAGCATTAGTAATATCTCATAATTACCAATATATCATTACATATTAAAATGTCTCATATAAATTAATTCAATCAGTCAAAGCACTGATTCTCATATCAATGCACCATAAACAATAGTGCAAATATGAATCTAGCTTAGTGCACATAATTAAAACAACTATCTAATGTATGCAAACTTTAGCAGGAGGAGCACAGCAAAAACATACTCATAATAATAGGTCTCGGCGCCCACACAGAAAAATATAAGAAAGAGCCAACAGAGCAGCGCAGGCTAGCGCTAGTTTGACTCACCAGTTCCTCTTTAAAACACGGCACACAGTGTGACAACTGCGTCGATTCAATTGTATGAGGCGCCTGTAGTGAAAGCATATCAATTACGGTTTGTAGAACAAAATATGACGTTAGGTCGCGATAAATACCTGCAGCTCGCTCATTTCCAGCTCCCCAACGACAACACACCCACCGGTGAATGCAGTGCGCTTGTTTAGGGAAGTGTTGCTGCGCGAACTGCGGGGAACTCACGTTCGAACTCTCGCGCGAGCGCTACAACTACCGCGAGGCTTTGTTTCTTCAGAGACGGTGTTCTGCCGAGTTGTGCCGCTTAGATAGGCATAGATAGAAAGAGAGATGCGGAGAAAGGTAAAAATGGCCCGGGTTACGCAAGTCTTTACATGTCAATTGGTGCAAGTCCAAGTGAAAGTCAGAGTCATTGATGTTAAAGTCCAAGTCGAGTCGCAAGTCTTTTTATATTTAGTCAAGTCGAGTCTAAAGTCATCAAAATCATGACTCGAGTCTGACTCGAGTCCAAGTCACATGACTCGAGTCCACACCTCTGTCACGTGACACGTTACTTTAGTGCGAGGCCCAATTTCTTCTGGTCATTGGAGAAATTTAGAGGGGCTGGGACACGAGCTGGCTTCAGTCGGGGGACTATTTGGGTGTGCATTTGAAATCATAAACAACTTTATGACAGAAAAGCAGCCACCTGATCTAGGACACGGCACGCTGGCCTAACCTGATGTTGCCATAAAGCCCATATCACATAATCAGATGTGGCTCTCTCCACGGAACTGCTTTTGACACACACACGATCCAGAACATTCTGTCAAGCCCATAGTGTAATATCTCTGTTACACAAGCCTGCTGATTTGACTGGTTGAGCAGAGAACCACATAACTCCTTTGTCTACTGCTCTGCTCAGCATTGGCTTTCATTACCAAACATCAGCCTATATAAAATCATTTAGGATTAGAGGAATGCTGTCGGTGCGTCTATGTTTTCAAGGGTGCCCCAGGCTCAATATGGTGGTATTACATTTCATTCAGCCTAGTGAAATTCCAAGTGGCATAAAATGTTTCCAGATATTTACTTATTATACAACAGAAAGATTATTTGCGTTTTAAATGTTGGTATTGAACAAAGCAGGATAACGATTGAGTTTTTTTCAAACTATTTTTGAGATTTAGGGCTATGATGCGTTAATATTATTCATAATAGATATTGAAACACAGTGGGCTTTAAAATGTTGCTACAAATGATTACTTAGGACTGCATAACTACAAAACTATTATCAACAATAGATAAAAGATACAAGTGAATGAGCTTGAAGTGTGCATGTTTGGTAAGCCTGTTTTGTCATGGTTGAGTCAGTGGGAGCCTTGTATAAGCCCTGGCCGCTCTATTGTTGTGTGTCGGCACGGGTTGCAGGTTACATACACAGATTACATGTCCTGTCTGTGGCCTACTTCTGACAGTCTGGCCAAAGGTGCAGTCCGATCGCAGCCTCAATTGCATAGCCTTTAAATAGATGGACAAGACTTTAGTTCAAGGTTTCCCTTTTAGCTCAAGGTCCAAGGCTCAATAAGGAAGTGCTTGTGGCGAAGTTTTGGGCTTGTTTAGCGCTCCTTGATCTTGGTGTTTTATATTGTGATATTTGTAAATTAATATAGGAGCTATAAGGATGGACCATCAGATGCTTTCATTTCGCAGCGCAAACTATAGCTAGTAAAAGCTACCCCTGCTGCGGTACAAAGTTAATCCTATCTTAAGTTCAAATCTGCTTCTTCTACTTTCCTCAAAAATACTTTAATGATGTCAGCACTCCTAAAACATGTTCTGTTCTTCTCTGCTGCCTCCGCTGGTTTGCTGTGTGGTTTGCTCACTGCCCCCCTGTGTGTTTGTGTTTAGCACCCTCCAGTGGTCGCCTCCTGGTACAACGTGCAGAGCTGCACATGGAGATGCTGAACTTCAGCCAGGCCGTACAGGACGCCAGCAGCCTGTGCTTCATCTCACCACACTGGACCAAGGTACAATAAACACAAACATTTACACTTTTTAAAAATCATTGAGTCGTGCGAAACGTGTATACGATAGGAATGTTCTGATAACACAAGTCACTTTATTAGTCCTTTATTTATTATTCATTTCATCTTTTAATTCAGACAAACAAAGGGTCCATATGAAACAAAGCCCTTACACTTTACTTGCTATACTATATTACTACATCATAATGCTGTTCTGAAAGTTCAATAGTCACTTTACCTGCTGCTACAATATAAACTTTTATAAAAAAAACATGATACTGCTAACTACGGTGTTTACTCCAAGTGCCATTATCGCTTTAGTTTTAGTATATTTTATTATCTATTATCTCAAACGATCGATCCCTTGTGCAACCTGAGAGGACTTATTTCCTTCTTTTATTTTGATGTAATGTACGCAACAATGACATTGACATTTCCCCACTTTGGGACAAATGAAGACTTATCCTATAAATGCTATTATTGAATAGGTATGCTATGTTCATTGTGATAATTTTTTTGTATACGTTACAGTATCCTGTATACATGTATTAGTGGTGTTAAAATGGTCATTATTTATATAGGCACTCAAAACCCATTCACTCATTCATGCATCAGTGTATGCAGTGTTATTTTATGTTGTTCAAAACTCTGTTCAACTGAGTTTGCGCTGTGTCGTCTCCCGGCAGGCCCATTACCTAAAGGCCACGGCTCTGACCAAAGCGTCCCGGCCCGATGAGGCGCTGCAGGAGTACTTCCTGTGTGTCGCCCTGAAGCCCGACTGGACCAAAGCCAAACTGGAGGCTCAGAAGGTAACCGCTCACAGCCTGTGCATGTGATACATTTGGGTTTGTCTTGACCTCACATGGTGGTAATAGTTCTTATTTATATACAAATAATGGCAATTACAATGGTCCTGGTTTATGGCTGGTTACGTTCTAAAAATAACCACACAATAAGTAGTAGCTCTTATGTTTTAAGGCTGTAAAACCCCTCACACACAGTTTATACACTTTTCTAACCATGTGAACTCACGACTGTTGAAGTGGGATCATGGAGATATCAAATCAACAATGTTGGTTGTAGTTTGCTCCTGCAGCTGTCTAAAGCCATGCTTACACTAAGATACAGCTGCAAAGGACAGAGGGGGCATGAGCAAGCCTGAAGACCTTGTAGTCCTCTGAACTAATCAACAAAAGTTTTCTTCTGACTTTATATAAAAGTAACTGGTCCTGTATCGAAAGTGACTATGGATATCTGTGGCCAGGTCATTGATAATGCAGGCAGAGTAAACTGAGAGCCTTTCCCTGTGTTTGAAGGAAGTTCAGTTCCTGCCAAACCCTGGTGCTCTCAGACATTAGACATCACAAATTAATGTATAAATAAATATAAAGTAAACTATGTAAAAGGCTAAGTGTTCACTTCAAATTCAATGCATAGGTGCAACTGATAATAAAAGGCTTGAGGCCTAACTTTCTATTTGCCTGTCCCAGTGTTCAGCACTTTGAGAGTTTCTGATAAAATGTATTGAATACATTGGTTGATCATATTACAGTTTGATATTTGACAAGCCACATGATACAGATAATGTATTTTAAATGGTGATTAAAATGAAATCCTTTGTGTGAAACTTCTATTTGTGAGATCAGTTTTGAATAATTTTATGTTTTACTAATGCACCTTTTAATTACCTCCAAGACGACAGGTCCTAAAGCAGAGACCAGCTTTTGCTTTAGTCCAAGGACTAATTTTCAGATGTTATGGTCTTCTTGCTCTCCTTTTCTCAAAGTTAAAATAAAAGTAACTGTTAGGTTATACTCAATTATCTGATGAGAAGCACAGTAACAAAAGCATGCACAATTGTACGAAAAAGATAGATTGTGAAAGAGCAAGACCGCGAAAGGTGACATGTGTTGTGACATGTGTAGTGAGGGACTATGATGCTGTTATTATACATAGTGATATTTCCTATCTAAATCCAGATATGAGCCCGAACAACTGACCAATCACAGGCATTCTGTCCCCGAAGTAGCCCTAGGCCGGCAATAGGGGTGGGAACCTAAGGGTACCTCACGATACAACACGATACAAAGCTCACGATAACGATATTATCACAATAACGATATTATCACAATAACGATATTATCACAATAACGATATTATCACAATAACGATAATATCACGATATGACGATTATCGATATATTGGTCAGAAATACACAATATGCCAATTTATGGCATAAATAAAAGAAAAAATACACTTTATTTCATGATAAATGGTATGGAGATGCGTAATGTAGCCATAAATTAAGTATTTTATTTTATTTTTTTAAATCGATATCGATACTTGGCAAATGCATATCGATAATTGAATCGCGGCCGAAAGTATCGCGATATATCAAAAAATTGATATATCGTCACACCCCTAACCGGCAATGGTCCTATTTGCTCTTGGTAACGTAGCTGTTGCAACTAACAATATTTGCATACATTTGGCCCAACATTCCCGCTCAAATAGCCTGTTTGAGCAAGCTCTAATAGGCCTCTTTTGCATTAAGGCAACACTATGGTGACGTCGGCACTCTCAGTCCACTCCTCTTTTCAGGTGTATGGCTCTTCCCTCCTTTAGTGATAGCAGCATTTCAGTACAGACCTGTGTCCTTCAGCACGTGTGCCTACAGCTGCTGTGTTTGCTTTGGCAGGTGCTGAGCAAGCTGTTCTCGTCTGTGTTCGAGCGTGAGGACATGCCCACGCCCCTACACCCTCTCCAGGGCGGTGCGGCCACTCGCCTCATTAAGCCTGGAGCACTGCTGGGCTCTCTGCGGGGCCCTTCATCCTCCTCAGCACAGGTATTTGTAGACTGCAGGCTTCCCAGTATTTCCATAGTGGTGGTGATTATGACGTTGATGATGAGTGTGTTGTATGTCCCCTGAAGGACTCTGAGCTGAGCCTGTGTAAAAGCTCTCCCGCTCTGGACTCTGACTCCCAAGACGCCGCCCCCAGCACCTCCAAGAGCCTGGCGAGCGTCCTGGCTGCTCTCCCTGCACCACCCGGTGTGCGCAAGAGGAAATACAGTGGAGAAGGGACCTCCGGAGCTCCCTGCAAGCTGCTCAAACCTGGTGAGAACCACGCCTCTCAACACATATGATGCCAAATCTGATGTTTCATAACGAGTTTATGCGATCTCAGACTGAGGGCTTTGGGGAGACTGCGGTTGTCCTCTGAACTAATCAACAAATGTTTTCTTCTGACCTTAAATAAAAGTAACTGGTCCTGTATCGAAAGTGACTATGGATATCTGGCCAGGTCATTGATAATGCAGGCAGAGCAAACAGAGAGCCTTTCCCTGTGTTTGAAGGAAGTTCAGTTCCTGCCAAACCCTGGTGCTCTCAGACATTAGACTTCACAAATACATTTATTGAAAGAAATAAAAAGTAAGAAAACTATGCAAAAAGGTTATTACTTCAACTCATAATAAAGGAGTAGAGGCCTAATACTTTCGATTTGGCAGTTTGTCTTTCCCAGTGTTCAGCACTTGGAGACTTTTTAATAAAATTATGATAATAAATAAATTTTATATCTTCTATCTAAAAGCTGCTGTCGTATGCCAAGTTCGTGCGATCTCAGAAACTCAGAACTTTCGATTTCCAACTCCTGGGTTCTTTTTTCCTTTCTTTAAAAAAAACATAAGCAATCTCTACAATGATTTCTAAATGTAATAAAATGAAAGTCTTCATCCGATGCGTTTTCTTTTATGATTTGACGTATCTGTGTGTGTGTTTCAGAGGGAGGTGTTGCTGCTGCTGTGTGTGGGGGAAGGCTGGTCCCGGCCGAGCTGTTGGACAGTGGAGACCTGGAGTGCTCTCTCTGCATGAGGTCAGCACACTGTGTATAGTCTCTCTCTTGTAGCGCAGGGCATGTGGGTTTGAAAACCAGTTAGAACGGCCCCCTTCTGTGTGGACCTCTCTTCAGGTCTGTAGGTTATAATATTTATGATGTCATTATATATTAGCAGGAATTTTGCTGGATGATAGTGTTATTAATCTCTACACACAGTTCTTGCATGCAGAGTCGATCCTAATTCAAATAAATATCTCCACAGATTGTTCTACGAACCGGTGACCACTCCCTGTGGACACACCTTCTGCCTCAAGTGTCTGGAGCGCTGCCTGGACCATAACTCCAACTGCCCCTTGTGTAAGGAGAACCTGTCTGAGGTACAAATACACACACACACGCACACACCATCATTGCGTATAATCTTTGTTAGATTCTCTGTGTTGTTAACATTAACACGTGCGCCCGCAGTACCTGGCCAATCGCGGCTACAGCATCACCCTGCTGATGGAGGAGGTGCTTCAGCGATACATGGGCGACGAACTGGCGGACAGGAGGAAGATCCACGAGGAGGAGATGAAGGAGCTCTCCAAGTATGGGCCACTAGACATGTGTTATGACCATAGACTGCATATATTTGGACGATGCTAACCACCTAGCTTGGTAGACAAAATCATAGACTGTTTTGCGCAAGCCTGTTCTGGCTCTTATTGACTTGCATTGAAAACTAACTCTTTGGACATCCAGATATCAGCCATATAAGCATTGACCAATCAGATAAAATAATTCTCAGGGGAAACTCCAGCTAAACTTGGCAACCAGGTTTGCAACACTCCTGTTATGACGCATAGGACACCCTGTAGTAACAATTGTTCATAGATGGAAATTGGCTCCACCGAGCTTATGTTCAAAATTGGCTTCTTCCACATCCAACACTACAGTGATGTCGGCACTCCGGTGTCTGCCAACCTCTAACTTAACCGTGGATATAAAACTCTGTCCGTTTCTCTCTCGTGGTGACAGCTTGAACCAGGAAGTGCCAATCTTCGTGTGCACTATGGCCTTTCCCACCATCCCCTGCCCCCTGCACGTGTTTGAGCCGCGCTACAGGCTGATGATCCGCCGCTCCATGGAGACGGGCACCAAGCAGTTTGGCATGTGCATCGCGGACGACCTTAAAGGCTTCGCCGACTACGGCTGCATGCTCCAGGTGGGACTTTGTGTGAGAAGCTGAAGGCTTTCCCTAACCAACTAAAGTACATCTGCGACACGTTACTTTAGTGCGAGGCCCAAGCGGAGCTGCTTTAATGTCTATTCTCTGAGCCAAAGGAAGCCAGTGTAGATTGAAAGATGCTCTTTTTAATCACAACATCCTGTTGTTTTTAGTTCAAGCTTTTATTCCAAAGCAAATGAAGGCTTCTCACCCATCATCTGTACTACTTAACAGGTTTTCCTGACGTTTCGTCCTTAATCCAAAGAACTTTTTCAAGGGAATGAAATCTCAGACCGTGCGTTGGAGGTTTACAACCTATGGGTGTGGTTTAACACACCCTAATCCTAATGCTAACTCATAAACACGTCTAAGGTCTGTTAAGATGTAGGAGCAGGTCTAACGACACTTCTAGGGCTAACAATCCTAACTCATTAGCATGTCACAGGCCTATTGTCTGCTGAGATTGCTTGAGTAGAGTCACTGACCTTACCTATAGTTAGGGCGTTGTTTTTAGGACGTCGTCATAGATTCGAGGCAAAGCCAATCTTAACCCGCCTCCTCTGTTAAGAGATGGTTTGTGTTTCCTCACAAAAATGGCTTCTTTCACCTAAGCCAGAATTTTAACCTCGTTCACGGTGTGGTTTGTGGCCTTGAGGTGGAGATGTACAGCCGATTTTGGCCCACTAGTTTTCTCTACAATGTCGGTAAAGTCTTTTCTGTATAGTTCTGTAGAGTTCCAAAGCAACCCAAACATGCTTTTTTAAACAAAAGTTTTACCTTTGAATGAGTATTTGGTAACTTCTCCAGATCGAAGCCGCACCTGCCTCGTTGTCTCACCCCTCTGCCCTGTGCCGTCTTTAGGTGCGCGACGTGAAGATCTTCCCAGACGGCCGCTCTGTGGTGGACACCATCGGCGTGTCCCGCTTCAAAGTGCTGAGCCACGGCCAGAGGGACGGGTACCATACGGCCAAGATCGAGTACCTGGAGGACAAGAAGGTAAAGGAGCAGCCATGTGGAAGGACGGCTGCAGCTGTCAGTACAGTGCAGAACACCATGGAATTTATGTTTTTACTACTTGGGTTCTTGTTTAAAGAAAACAACTAGTTGAGATGTAATTACCTTGTTACCTGAAACATGTTCACAAGGTAAACATTCCAGCCAGTCGTTGTCTTAAGACAAGAATCTAAGCTGTAAACTAAAGTCAAAAGAAGAACTTGAACATTCTCTTACGACTTAAGTAAAGCTACGTAGGAAATGTTTGCCGCCACCTGCAGGTGAAAGCCAGTTCATGTCAAGATTTATGAAGCTAAGCATTGCAGGGCCTGGTTAGTACTGTGATGGGATACTTCTTAGAACATCAGGTGCCACAGTTGGGCGGCTGTAAACTATTGTTATATCCTTAGGCAAGACACTTCACCCTCATTGCCTAGAATGGTGGTGGTTGAAGGGGCAGATGGCACATACTAGTTTACTCACGTCTGTCAGTGTTCCCCAAGACAGCTGTGGCACCTGTAGTAACTTATGACCACTGTCTATTGAGTGCATGTATAATGCCAAGTGTCTTTGAGGGTCCATTTTTTTAATGAAACATCCCCATCTAAAAAAAGCACAGTATAAAACAGATGATGATGAACAGAGATTATAAATAAAATTATTCTAGTCTGTGGATGTTCTCCCCTCCTCAACTTCTCCCTCATGCTTCCCCCCCATCCGATCAGGTGGAGGGTGAGGAGCTTGTGGAGCTGCTCAAACTTCATGATGCAGTTTACGACCAGGCCAACAGCTGGTTCACCTCGCTGCGGGATGACATGAAGTGCCAGATCCTCAGCCACTTTGGACAGCTCCCCACCAAGGACCCGGACCCCACGGTGAGGCTTCTTCATTCTGGGGGATAGAGCAGCTAACGTCTTAGGATGTGAAGAGTGCTCCCACTTGTTGTGTTTTATAAGGGTTGGAAGGAGAAGGATGGGTTTTTCAGAATTGGGATGCAGCCCATGTCTCATTGTGGTATTTGCCGCTTCCTGCCAGGAGCAGCCAAAGTGTTATATACAAATAAGGGATGACTGTTTTAGAGACAGCAAATTATTTAGACAAATACAATCAGTAATTATAATGTTACTACTACCACGACCATTACTTTCACTAACACCCCCATTACTTTTACTACTGCCACCACCACCACCACCACATTACTTTTACTACTACTACCACCACCACATTACTTTTACTACTACTACCACCACCATGACTACTGCTACTACTAACATTGCTACCACCACCTCTACCATACAATTTTTTTTTTTCTCCATGGATACATCCAGTGTTGGGTTTGATTTTTCCAATCGCAATGAAACTACACATGAATTTCTTTGTGATGGAAAGATCTTCGAATGTTGTATTGGATACTTTTTTCCTTTCATATAAATGATCAATGGGGAAAAAAAATGCTTACTTAAATACTTACATTGTTTGCTGTGTGTTTCCCAGGCCAGTCCGAGTGGGCCGCCTTGGTGCTGGTGGTTGCTGGCCGTGCTGCCCCTGGAGAACCGGGCCCAGCTCACCATCCTGGCCATGGCCTCTCTGAAGGAGCGCCTCATGGCCATCCGTCGGGTTCTGATCTTCGTGACCCGCAAGCGCCCGCGGTGAGGGCTGCGCGTCCCGGCAATCGCGCGCGGCCGCCCTGTCCTCTCTGCACACTCTATGCACTTCTGAAACTGCCCTCAAAATCCTCTCAACACAGCTCTTCCTCACGCAGACACCTCAAACACCTCTGACATGGACCTGGTTGTCGGAAAAGAACGGTGAAATCAGCAGAACTGTTTGTGGGGATGCTCGAAACGCAGTATGCCGGTTTGAATTATGCCACTTTTGAACAACCGCAGCTGGAGTGGTTTATGTGATTTTGGAAGTGCTTCAATTGAAAACAGTCAAGAATTAGTTTTTTTTTTTTTTTTTTTTTTTTTTGCTCTTGTCTGCCAGGTCCTGCTCTTTCAAAAGCAAAGCTCGCCTGACTCATTGCTTGGACAATTGCTTGGACAAACTGACCACGGATGAATGAAGTGATGACTGTAGAAGCGGTTGCAATGGCTTGACTTCTGAACGTCGGTCTACCTCAAACTACACGCCCACAAATTTATTTTTACTATGCATTAAAATCCATGCTCATCACTTGCACCTGGCTCTAAAAAAAAGTTTGCTTCTATCACTAGTTTTCACATGCAGGTCGTTTTGGCCTCTGTCACATCTTTAGTTCAGCATTTACAGTAAATGCTTTTCACCCAGGATTAGTGAAACATCCCCACCTCGTGATAGAAGTGGGAAAACGCATACTGTCTAATTGAAGATGTATATTCAAAGAAATGTTTGGAGGAACTCCCCAACATAATTGCGTTTATCAGGAACTTTGTTCACAAGCCACTGCAGGTCTGTTTACAAACACATGTTGGAAACCTGAAAAAGAATGCTGTGCTTAAGTCATTGGCTGTGATTAGAAGTAGACAATGAGCACCATAGTTTTTGCATTAATGCAGAAGATGCCGTTTGAACACAAGCTAGCTGGAGTCAGTGTCTTACATAAGAGATAAGATAGACTTTATTGGTCTCACACATCTGGCTCAATCTCACTACCGATTGTACAAAAGAAAGAAATGTGCAAACATGTTAAATTTAGGATATATTATGTACAATAAAAAGTGGCAATCAAGACACTGTCAATAGTAGTGCAGGTTTTTCAGTCCTAATGCAAATTATTTAAATTGACTTATCGTACAGTCTGACAGCAGTGGGGATAAAACATGACAGAAATGGACATTTGTTTCGACTGCATTAGCTTTGTGCCGGCTGGACTCCCGTTTGAATGAAGGCATTGGATTTAAAATCCGCACATGAGCCTTAAGATTTGACCAAAGACGTCAAAATACGCCCGGTTGGGGTGAGTGTGACATAACAATTACTGAGCTGGAGGAGTTTACTTTTTGTGGTATGGAGTCAGAGCAAGTTGGAGCAAAACTTCATTCATGAACATCCATGAGACAATGCCAATGTTGGCATTGTCCCTCTGTATCCAGTCTATGGCCTTAACATAGGCCCTCTTTCCCAGAACAATGAATCAAAGTGGTCAGTTCTGAACTTAAGCCATTTCCAATCGTCTCCACACCGTAGTGTTTTGTGCCGCCTTGACCTGAGGCCTGAGAATGTATCCCACTCCTCACGCTTTCCTTCCTTCCGACAGCAGCTTGGGGATCACCTTGTGGCGGCCGCGCGGACTTTTCATCTGTATGTGTGTACGTCTATGTATCTCTGGAGAGGCCTTTTATTGTTAATTTAAGAACTTTTTTATTCTCTTTTTTTTTTTTCTCCTGTCTTCATGCAGTGCTCCTCCTCCACACCAGTCGTATTTTAGAATTGGAAACACTTTGTGATAATTTGCGTTCATTACAAAAGGGATGTGGCAATGTCAAATGGGTTAGGAAAAGCCAGTTGAGGTGGCTCGGGCATCTTTTTGGGATGTATCCTGGACACTTAGTTGGGGAGGTGTTCCTGGCGTTAGAGGGACTATGTCTCTCAGCTGGCCTGCGAACGCCTCAGTATTCCCCCTAATAAGCTGGAGGAAGTGTGTGGAGGAGGACGTCTGGACCTCTCTGCTTAGACTGCTCACCTGCTACCTGGCAACAGATAAAGCAGAAGAAAATGGATGGATTGATGATAGATAATTAACTTTCAGTACTACAATACAATATATACTATATGCATTAGTCCTCACTACATTATAAACGAGTCTATTAGGCCATTGTAATACTTATAAAACTGAGAATGGACTCAAGTATTTTGGTCTCGGCAAAACTGTAAATCTGACTGAACATGAATCTCAAACATGATCCTGCAGCTCGGGTTTGGGTGCATTTGCTCTGAACCTGGGCTGATGGCAGACTGGTGCGAGGAGGGGGGCTGCTCTGTTTTGTCCTGTACTATCGTTGGTGTCTCTTTTGGGGGGGAGGGTTTGGAGAGGGAGGCGGGTTCCAAGTACCTGCTATATTTGTAAAGGATCTTAATACTTATTTTTTATTCGCAAATAAACATTCTGAAGTCTGCGTTGGTCCCTTTTTTCATATACATGTGGATCTATGGGAGGTGGTAAAACTGATCTCTTCAAAAGTATCAAAAGTATGTGACAAGGAGCAGTTGTGCAGTGCTATGGTTACTCTAATATAATGTATTTTGTCCCCCACAATCTCAAAACATGTTCGAGGAAAGGTACTGCTTTATGAGCCAAGAGCCAGCAAATCCAAGACGTATAAGAATACATTTATTGTGAGGTTTATAAGAATCTTTTAATATTACAGAGCATAAAGAATCTACCACTGCTTATGACATTTTCTGCAGTAGAGTTCTACATAGCCGCATCCATAACTAATTCGACTCATTGTTTATTGTACAGTCAGATTGTACAGAATCTCTATTTGATGCGTGTCCTGCAGGGGGACAGTCATGGTCCAGCATAGATGCTAGTTTGTCAACAAAACTAACAAAAACCCAGTGGGAAAACAGTGAGAAACCTTGGGGAGAGCCACATATTGAGATGGCCATGTTCAGAGGTCCTGCACTTGCCACATGAAACAGACAATGGGACAACGGGTGAATAGGAATGAACAGACTCAAAATCCTAATAATGCAGACAGATAAAGCAGGAAGGAGGAGAGGATAGTGCTCAAGTTACCATACTTCTCCCAGCAAACTGACTCCCTACGCAGCTTGACTGACAGTCTGAGATATTTAGCCTTACCTTCCCAACCATATGCTTCAACCAAATGAAGAGGACTGTTTTAGCCTAGCCTAGAACATAGGATTGAAGATGCAGCGGACCGGGTCCCATACAAGCAGACTCCAAGACCGGACAAGACCTGACCGGACAAACAACCTAATCATATGCTAAATTGAAGAAGAATGCGTCCACACCTGCTGGACTGTGTCCAGGGAACAGCCTAGGACAGAGTTGGACTTCCTGATGATCTTGTCCAGCTTCTTCCTGTCCTTCTCTGTGATGCTGCTCTTCTAGCGGTCCACACTATACAAGATGGCAAACAAAACCACAGAATCATAGGTCTTTGGGAGTGGCCCCTGCAATCCAAAAGATCTGGACTGGACTCCTAGGGGCTTCTACATTTAGATCAATGCAGTGTTTCCTGGTCCAAACATCCATACGTCCATACTGAGAAATATGCACATGTTCTCAATTCATTCTCAATAACCCAGTCATGAGAGTGTTCCTCCTCATATATGCAACACCTACTGCACCAATTACCTGCCTTAAAAAAGGAAAAGATGTGTGACAATATCAACCACTACGGAAATGTATAGGCTGAAGGTCTCAATGCAACAAAGGAAAGTTGCTCACCCATTATCTGTACTTCAGTTAGCAGGTTTTTCGAACATTTCGTTCTTCTCCAATGAGTGGGAGATTGATAACCTGTGGGTGTGTGGTTAGACCTTAGACACCCTCTGATCCTGATGCCTCAAACTCTTAGCAAATCAAATTAAAGCCGGAGTACTTATCAATGACATTACTGACCATCTGTCAATTTTTTTGCATTTTTAAACAATTACAAAAGAATACAACCAAAACAAAGGACATCCAATTTGTAAGACACCGCACACCTGAAGCAATGACTGCTCTGAAGGGCGACCTAAGTGGCCAAACATGGGAAGAAGTGTGTGCAACTCCAGACCCTGATAGGGCATACAATGCCTTCCTTCGTACATTAAAACAACTGTATGACCAGCACTGTCCACGTAAGAAACTTTATATTAAAAACAAAGCCATAGCTTACCAAGGGCATAGCTAAGGCTTGTAAAAGAAAGCAACAACTTTACAGAGCACATTTGAAGCAAAGGACTAAACAAACTGAAGAAAGGTAAAAAATGTATAAAAATAAATTAACTCAAATAATATGTTCCTCAGAGCTCCGTTTTAGAACCTAAATTATTCATCCTGTACATTTATGAAATCTGTGAAGTTCTTTACAAGTTACGATGCATCTTATTTGTTGATACCAGTCTGTACTGTTAGTGGTTAGTACCTCAGTAGGAGGTAGGATAGTAGGATACTAAAAAAACGGTTTCATTTAAACAAACTTTCCATAAATCTGCAGAAAACTAAATGTATTGTTTTTGGAAAAATGAAAATAAATACACCATTGTCAAATCAGTGTTGGGAAGGTAGACATTGAGTGTGTATGAAAAAAAGTTTTTGGGATCAATATTGATCATAAGTGAAACTGGAAAATGCATATAAATACTCTAAAGACTACATTTTTTAAACTCATTGCTACACTGTGTAAAATAAAAAATTCTGTAAATCAAAATGCTTTATAGATACTGTACAATTCGCTCATCCTTTCATACCTCAGCTACTGTGTGGAAATATAGGGGAATACCTACACAACTGATATAAAACCTCTAAAAAAATCTTTATCTTACAAAAGAAAGCAATTAGAGTGATCAGTCATGCAGAATACCTTCCTCCTTCATGCTTCCACACTGTGTACAACAGATGTTTCATACTAGAGAATGTAGGTACAGCCTCAGAGGAACTGATCTGTTACAAAAACCCAGGGCTAAGAGGAGGTGTGTATCAGTCAAAGGAGTTGATCTATGGAACAGTCTACCAATTCAACTTAAGGGCTCTAGAACTATTAAAACATTTAAGAAAAAAAAAGTATAAGTCAAATTTTATGGAGAAGTATCAAACAATTGAATTTGATTATGTTTAATAACTCTTCATTATGGAAGTTAAAGTTTTTGTGCTAAATGTTACCATCGTTGGGAGAAACTGTATACTGTGTCATCTTTGGATGTATTGTCACATTGAAACGATGGGAAAACCTGCGAACTGAAGTACAGATGATCGGTGAGCAACTTTTCTTTCATAATGCCTGTAAGAGCTTACACATTCATTCATTCATTCATTCATTTTCAACCCCTGTATTAGTCCATTTCTGGGTCAGGGGGTGGCAATGAGAGCTGCCACCCAAAGCTCATAGCACCAGTCCCTCGCTGATCCTCTGCAGGTGGTGGGTCCACAGGAAGATGGCTGCTCCATCAGCGGTGAAAGAGCCTTGGTCTTTCAGCAGGGGCTTCGGGCAACGTGGGGTTATGTGTCTTGCCCAAGGACACAGCGACAGTGGACATTTGTGGGAGCAGTTGAGAGCTTACACAAACGTTTCATATAAGGTTTGTTCATATCATGTTATTTCACTTAACTGCATTGACAGTCTACCTGCCCGATGCCGTCAAACCTCTGAAGCTGCTCAATTTTAATAATAATAATAATAATGCATCGGTTTTACTGTATACAGCGCTTTTCTGGACACTCAAAGACACTTCACATGTCATTATTCTTTCACTCCATACACGGTGGTGATAAACTACTACTGTAGCCACAGCTGCCCTGGGGCACACTGACAGAAGCGAGGCAACCAGTACGCGCCATCGGCCCCTCCGACCACCACCAACCATTTACTCACACACCAGACTCATTCTAGCCAATTAGAGTGAAGTGTCTTGCCTAAGGGCACAACAGCAGTTTGGCACTTTACAGCCGCTGCCGCCCCACTGTGGCATCTGGTGTTTTCAGAGGTTAAGTGTCTTGCCAAGGACACAACGATGGCAGACGGTGGAAAAAGTCTTTTCACTGCAGATCAGAGTCTCAAAGCAGTTCACAATTGTTATTTTTTGGGCATTTGTCTCTCACTCCACACAGAAATAGGAGCCAGTGCAGGAGGTGCATGCCAGATCTATTGTGCATGTTTTTAGTGGTAGGGTAAACCAGAGTACCCGGAGGAAACCTACACAGACATGGGGAGCACATGCAAACTCCACTCAGAAAGGCCCTGGTCCAACCGGGATTCGAACCCAGGACCTTCTTGCTGAGGCGAGAGTGCTATCCACTCAGCCACCGTTGTGGTGGGCTTGAACCCATAGAGCACTCATCCTCATGCAGGTAGTGCGTCCACAGGAGGATGGCTGCTCTGTCGATGAGAGCATAACCTTGATCTTTGCGGCAGGGCTTCAGTCAAAGTTGTGTTAACTGTCTTGCCCATGGACACAACGACTGTGTTTGAGCCCACCACAGAAGATCTTATGGTGGGCTCGAACCCACAACCTTCACACTCAGAGGCCAATGCTCTACCAACTGAGCTGCTCTCGCCCAATTTTTTTTTTTGAGCCAGTTGTCTAAAGAACAAACAAAAGATCAAACAATAAAAAACTTAGACTACTCCAGTCCAGTACAGTTTTGTTGCGTACAAGTAACACAGAGGTTCATGTATTTTGTGGAGTGCATCTTTAATTAGGTCAACCTCAGAGCATCAGTGTGATGTTGAAGCAGCCTTTGTCCTGCTCACAGTGTCCTGATCCACATAAGTGACTCGACTGCAATAGAATTAGCAATATACAGTATGTATTTGAGACAAGCTGACGTCACCAGGCACATGAAGCTGCAGTAAAGACAGTGGCCACTAGAGAGAGCCCACATTCTGTTTTTGAACAGATAGTGTGATCACATCCTGACCTCTTTTTAAAGCTTATACTCTCAAGAAAATAACCACTCATCCTTAACAAACATGCTACCTCAATCTCCTCTCACCCATTCAAACACAAGACTACAATACAATGCATAAACACAAATCTGAATCTTTTTGAATGTGGTTGGAAGTAACAGGAAGTCACAAACTAGGAATTTGCTTTACAAATTAGGGGGAAAAAACGCTTGCTCCACCCAGAGGCTACACCAACCCTGCTGCTGTAACCCGTCACGCTCCGCCCAGCGGCTACTCCACCTCTGCTGCTGTGACCTGAAAGGCTGTTTCTGATTATTACTGTTGTTAGCTTTTTAGAATAATCAATTTCATTATTTTTTTTATTTTTTTTTGCTGCTACTGGACACCTGAATTTCTCCTACGGGGATCAATAAAGTATCTATCTATACATCTATCTGTCTATACATCAGCATCCAGCCTTTATCCAAGCCCTGGCGATCCAAGATGGCGCCATATTCAAATGAATGGGTTGTGCTCAGTGGCGCTTTGTGCCCGTACGGGGGCTGAAAGATTAGCGGAACTTCGCCTGGAACTCGCAAAGATCCATGGGAAACTTGCAAAGATCCATGGGAAACTCGCCTGTATTTGGGCATCGTCTGGTCCTCCCGGTTCTGCGCATGATGCGTTGCACGAAATACGCGTGTGTGGCTGTCATGCACGTGCACAGAGGGGCTCGGCCGCACTCTGACCAATCAGAGCTGCTGATCAGAGTGGGAGTTAGAGCGGGAGCCAGATGGGCAGAGTTTGTGGGACTAAAGGGAAAATATCCGGGTAGCCCGTGAATTTAGTTTTGTTCAGTCTGCAGTACCACGAGAATCCCCCGAGCACATGGGTTTTTCAGCTCCAAGCTAGTAATACCCTATCCAGTTATTATAATAGATCCATGCCTTTATCCCCCCCTTTCCTCTTCCCACCCCGCCCCTCTCATCGCTTGCCCGGGGCCCCCTCCAGCCTTGCCCCGGCCCTGCTCGCTCCTTCAGTGGGAGTGACTTGTGCCCAGACTCGGAGCGGATCCACAGATAGCGGACAGCCTTCACCACCACACCGCGTACGGGGACTACAGCTCAGCACAACCCGGGTGGGATCCACTACTTTCCCGCTGACGATGCCCCACTTCCCGGCGGCTTAACCGACTCACACACACTTTTATTCCCACAATCTCCTTTTGTATATATATATATTTTTAATCATTTTAACGTGAAAATGGCGAACGAGTCACCGGCCAAGAGTCTGGGGGAGATAGACCTGGCATCTCTACGGGTAAGCACAGCCACACACGCCCTTGCTTTGTGAGATCTACCCGGAAACATCGCATCGCAGCTCGGCATAGTTGTTGACATTGCATCGTTGTGGATTTTCCTTTGTCTTTTTAATAGTGTGAGAGCGAGCTGTCGAGACGAGCGGTGCAGGCTCGCAAACCACACACACCCCATTCCCTGTCGCTTGTGAAAAAAAAATAAAAAATGTTTCCAATTGTGAAAAATTGTAAATATTGTTTTGTGGGTCTTTTTCCAGGATCCTGCTGGTATATTTGAACTCGTGGAAGTGGTTGGAAATGGCACGTATGGACAAGTTTATAAGGTAGGTAATCCTCTATGGCCTACATTGGCTATTTCTACATTTATTTTCGCTTTGAAATTCGTAAAAATGCTAAAAATAAACTCGTTTTTTTATACGCGAAACATTGTGGTGCGTTCAATTGTAGTAGGCCTTTTTAGCACCATCGCGTTTCCACTTACGGCCTGTGCTTTTTCCGCTGTGTGTAATTGGGTTATGCAGCTGCATCATCCTGCCTCTCTCCATCCTCCATCCTCTCATCCCGGGATGCAGGCACCGTTACCCGGGTACCCCCTCCCCTCGCCTTGCATCCACGCCCCTCTGAGAACAGCGCCTTCACCGTCCTCCAGCGACGGCTTTTAGGCGGTGTTTGTTCTGTGCATGGGTGGGAACGGTGTTGGTGGTGGAGGCCTACTGTCTTCCATAAAGGGTGGATGCTCATATTATGGATGCTAAAGTAGTAGTAGTAGTAATATGGAGGCCTACTGTCTTCCATATAGGCTGGATGCTCAGATTATGGATGCTAAAGAAGTAGTAGTAGTAGTAGTAGTAATATGGAGGCCTACTATCATTCCTAAAGACTGGATGCTCATATTATGGATGCTAAAGTAGTAGTAGTAGTAGTAGTAGTAGTGATGCTATGTTGAAAATTGATGTACTAAGCGGTTGTTGTGTATACTTGAGAATTATATGAGTAATGAATGTTAGGGGGACAGAGTAATGTTGGAAAATATCTTCAAAATCAATTTCAGTTGGGATTTTAGATAAGTCGCAGACCACTGATTAGGCCCTGTCCACCTGTTTTAAGACCACAGTGAAAGGTCGTTTCAATCATAAATAGCTGGAACCTTATTTGTTTCGGAGCTATAATCTGTAATTTCTTGGAATTTTGCTTGCTGATTTTCTCTCATTACATTGATATATTGACATATTCATATCCTTAAGCTATATCCACTCCAAGATTTTCTGATATTTGCAGATTTTACTTGACTGCTTGCGTCCTGATATGATCAAATCCTCTTTTTCAAATGATAAGTGGTGTAGCACATAGACCCAGGAAAAATTCATAGCAGAACAGACCACTCCCTCGGCAAAGACCTGTCTCGAGTCCAATCATATGTAATTTTTTAAAATCACAATAAGGTGTCATAATTAACACAGAATTGTAGTACTTTTGGATGGTACCTCAAGATTTTGTAGTTTTTCCCAGGTTTAAAACCACATAGAAGGCCCTGTCCCCTGGGTTTAAGACCACATAGGAGGCGGCTTCAATAAAATAGCTGGGACTATAATGCTTGGGTGTTGTACATGTTTTTGTGGTAGAATAAACAGGAGAACCTGGAGGAAACCCACATAGAAATGGGTAGAACATGCAAACTCTACTCTAAATGTATATCTATTTTACCATTTCTGCAACTAGATTAGTCTAGTTATCCATTACTCCATTTGTCATGTGCATCCATATATTTCACATTCTAAAACATGAAGCAGCAAAAACCCCTTTGTCCTAGATTTCTGCACAACTCGATATGAGTTGTGCATAATTACTTTCCGCCTGAATGAGACACACCGATCTTCCGAACATGAAGATGACTCAGCCATGACCCATTTCTGAAGCAGCCTTGCAGCTCCAGGCCGAGTGCCATTGCAGATCTGGCACCCCGGCTCCTGATGCCAGAGATTAGGAGGTGCACAACAGAGGGGGAGTTAAGGACTGACCATATACTGGCTCCATTATGATAGGACCCGGCCATATGTGTGTGGCTCAGTCCCATATACTGTATATTGATGGACAATACTAACCCACTACTTCAATGGAATTCAATAGAGAAGTGCTCTTGGACAAAGTTTTGCTCCAACTCCCTTGTATCAATTTACATTTAAAAGTAAACTTTTGTGACAAACTCCAAAATGTGCTCTCTATGATCCTGGGGTTTTTCCCAGATATTCGGGCTGAGACTCAGGGAAAATCATAGAGAGCACTTTTCAAAAGCTGAAATCTCTTTTTTTTAAATGGAAAATGTCCGTTAAGCATAATGTTGGCCATTTTCAATATTCTTCCACCCGCGTCTCTCATTCAAAATCACATTTTAATTTCCGATACACTTCCACCAAGAAACCAATGAGCATACTTTTCCCAAAGCCATGGGGCCACATTGATGATTAGATGATTTAAACTTGACCTGAAATCGTGTAATCTCCAGGGCATCATCCCTCAGAGCAGGGACGGCGTGTGGCATGAAGTCACGGAGAGCACAGACACCCTCCAGTGGGGGAGCTGTCATGTGACCTGCAGCAGCCAACCACAGCCACCTTCTGAGTCGGCGGAGGATGTGGGCTTGTCCACTTCTTCAGGCTGAATGTACACTAGGAGAGTATGCAAATTTCATCATAGACAAGGCCATGGCAATACAAATATGTCTGCAGTATTACGTCACTGTGTGATGGAGATGTATTTTCTTTTAATAATCGGCCTGGTCATTATTTTTAGACATATGGTTCTAAAAACATATGGTTCCCAAACTTTTAAGTAAGTGGGCCACTTTAGTTCACCAGACCTCTCCAGGAGCCGACAACATGGATTTTAAAACTGTTTGGACTGGATTTAGGCTGTTGACAAAGCTGACAGAGCTCACCAGCTACATTAGCACTATCTATGCATGTATGTAGAAAGACACCAGGAACTAAACTAAGTAATGAAATGTAGGAACAAGGGGTGGGATCACATTAGTCTTCTTCTTCCCACTCCTTTTTGAGCCAAAACATATACAGTATGTTGTACAGATCCTGCCTGTACCTCTTTGTTTTGTTTTGTCCTTCATTTGTTGCCCATGTGTGGGTACAGTGCTTTCTGTATTGTGCAGAATGTTATCATTTTGTTTGGCTCAAAATAAAGTAAGTATAGTATCAAAAAATAATCATTCTTGTGAATTCTAGAGGGTCTGAGCTTTACACGCTGGAAGTTGGCTGGATGACAGTGAACGTTCTGGTCTTAGTTGGGACATGGCTCCAATAGGTCCAAAAACCTTTTGATATCTCCTCCCATCACCACAGTCTAACTTTATAGAGTCATTTGCATTTCAAAACTGTGGAATTAGCATTTTGCAGACATAACTATATGTAATGTTGGCTTTAGAATGTAGTGCCAGCCGTGACAGGAGCAAAGACCCCATCAGCCTCCACATACTTCTGGATCTGCTGACACTGGCGAGCGAGCACAATAACCTTTTTATTTGTAAATCGTCCGTTATAATGCAATTTCCTCTGATTCTCTACATAGTGCACTAATGCAGACACCTCCTTAACCAGTTTTTTAACACCTCGCGTTCACATTGTTTATGCGGGTCAACTCGGCATTTGAACACGGGTCCACCAGGGCAGGTCTGCAGTGTGAGCACATAGGACCCCTCTGAGGAGTTTGATAGTGTCCTGTACCTGTCGTCTTGTTCTTTCAGTCATTACCCAAAGCTTCACCCTCCCAATCCAAAGATTTTCTCTGTATGTTATGGGACAAACGAGATACGTCCTGGTGTACCTCTGAAATGGCCGTTCAGTCGTATCTGTTTCAGCATTCTTGTTCACACCAGTTTTCATATGTATGTAAGTAATCTTTATTTATATCGCACATTTTATAGACCATGGTCTCCCTAAGCACTTTACAAATATTGAGAGTTCAGATATTTTACCGATGTTTGTGCATCTTGAAATGACACCAATAACCCTTCTGCTTGCTTCTTCCTGGAAAACTCAAAGTAAACTTCCAGGCTATTCATGCCCCTTCATTTATAATATGTGGCACAGTGAGAATGTAATGTAAATCTCTATCTTACTAAATGTCTTTGGTCACAATCAGACAGTGGACATTTCCAGCTGCCTTCCTTCTGGTTTTGACGCATGTGTTCCTTCGGCAGTAGAAGTACCGGTTCCTCTGGCCTCTGTGCAGTATAGTGTTGCAGTTGTTGACCTGTGTGTTCAGTGAAAGCAGAGCAGGAGAATTTGGGACAGAGGATGTTTGTGAGGAAAGGCTCAACGGCGGAAATCATCACAGACCACAGAGAGGCCGATGCTGACAGATAACAACATGGAGCTGCTCTGGTTTGTGGATTTAAAAATGCAGACTCTCTTCATGACTAAACACAAACATCTCTGCACTAAGTCTCACTAGTCTGTCTCTTCAATGCCAGCTTATTGCACCGTACTAAAGAATGGGGTTGTCCAAACTTGAATGCTCCTTGTAGATGGACAATGCTAATTCGCAGCTCAATAAGCCCAATAGGGAAGTGCTCGTGGACAGAGTTTTGCGCCAACTCCCTCTGGCTCTTATTGACTCCTAGCTCAGTAACTGTTTGTATCACACTCAACATTGTGGGTTTCAGTAATCTGTGGTTTCATGCTCTCTATGATCTTGGGGTTTATATGGTGATATTGTTTTTGTTCAATCCCTATATGGCTCATATCTGAATTTACAATCGGGTACCTTTATTCCGGACTAAACTTATTTGACTAAACATCATGTAAGTGCTAGTATAACATGACAGTTACATTTATTTGAATTCAGAAGAAAACATTTTAATTCCTGTTCCCAACAAAACATTGGTTGAGTGGTCAGATCGACTGACCCACAAGTTGGCAAGTGTGACACCAGCTCCCAACTGGTAATCTCTGCAGTTTGTCCCTGAGCAAGTCACTAAACCCTTCCTTGCCCCAAGTGTCTGCATATACTGGTGAATGAATGTGTGTATGGGTTTAGTTTCTGGATATGAAGCGCTTTGAGTGCCATAAAAAGGTAGAAAAGCACTGTATGAATGTGAACTTTTTTTATCTGACAAACTTATTTGAAGAAGGTTCAAAGATTTCTCTGTGAAATTACCTAGATGGACCATATGCCCCTATAGGTCCCAGTTTTTCCAAAAATAATTGTTTCAAACTTGGACGTTGTTCTGCACTTGCCTTGCCTTTTCTTCTTTCTCAAGTGAAAGCATTGTTTTATACAGACTCGAGATTCCCATTTTCAAGCGCAGAAC